TCTGAGAAACAAAGGCCTGGCAGTCAAGGGAAGGCAGAGGGAGGGCTGAGGGAGTGTGAGGCATGGTGACTCCAGGCCAGCAGAGCTGTAGGCAAAGGCCTGGGGCAGGGAGAGAGGCAGGAGGGAGGCCTCACGTTCCCCTGGCTACAGCGATGGCCACAAGGAATCTGAGTGGGCCACACCCGGGGGCTGTGGACATTGACCTGGGCGGAGGGAGCATAGGTCATGAGGCCCAGGACACAGCCGGCACCCACTGGTATCAAAGGAAGAGGGATGGGTGAGGGGCAGGCCTGGGCTGAGCCTGGGGCAGGTACATGCTGTGGCCACCTTCCGGGGAGAGTGGAATGAACAGCAAGGCGGGAGCAATGGCGTGGGGGTAGGGTGGGGGGTGTGTGGGGGAAGACAGTGACACCAAGATCCCTGTGGGCTGGGCCCCGGGGAGCATGGCGTAGGGGGCAGACGTGGGCGACACGGGCACACTGTGTGAACGAACACAGGCCTCGCAGAGGCTGCCCAGACATCCTGAGAAACGGGCGACTGGTGAACGCCGAGATTTCCTCATGGGAATGAAATAAGATGTAACATTTAACATAAGAGACGGTCGTCGACAGCGCAGGGAAAAGTCACTCCCCGACAAGGGGATGCCGAGGCTGGCATTTCTGGGCCGGCGGGAAGGTTGCTCCCTCTGCAGGGAGTTGGCGGGCGGGTGCTGGGGCCCAGGCCTCCCCAGCGGGAGCTCAGAGCCCACACGGGGGTCTTTATGAGCACAGGGCACTGCTTGTGCCTGCTCGGCATGGATTCAGCCAGGCAGTCTGGGGGTGACCTTCAGAGCTCCCTGCCCTGGCTCCTGCTCACATGTACACGGGAGCCTGAGTACACGGCCACGCTTGCCAGGTGACCCCTGGGGTCGCCACCTCTCAGCTCTGCCTGCCTTTTCCTGACAAGGTGCATCTACTCCTCTGGACAGCCCATATGGCACCGGCGGCACCTCCTCTTGCCGGTCACTGCTCCCCCCCCCCCCCCCAACACACACACAAGGCCTCCCGTGAAGGGAACGGACTCTGCGCGCGGAGCCGGGCGGCTGGACCTGGAGGCTTGTACTTTTCCGATGCCGCCTCAATTGACCTTTAATTACACTGTTTGCCCAGCTCCCCAAACCATTAACTTCCACCTCACAGCAACTGCACGTCAATTAATGGAGGGCCTGCTCCGAGCTCCGGCTCCTGAACACAATTAAGCGTGACAGTCCACAAATAAGAAAGAACTGGAGAATTAATTAAGGTCTAAACAAATTAATTACCAGTCCCCAATCGATTCTGATGCCAGCACACACCGTCTTTCCTAACATGTCCATGTATAAATAGAAACGAGATTTCCCACATGATTGCTGTTCCAGACCAGGGCCCGGCACGGTTCTGAAACCACCTCGGGGGAGAGGCTGCAGGGAGAGTCCTTGTGGCTCCCCACGTACTACACACACACACACACACACACATACACACGTGCACATGCATACCCCCGGCTGAAAAACCAGGGGCCAAACTAGAGGTGTTCCTGGTGGGACAGGGCACAGCCGGCCTCTGGACCATGCCCCTCAGTTTCTCAGCGACTGAAGCGAAGGGCATTCAGTGGCTGGAGGAGCCTGGGCTGTGGCCAGGACAAGAGAACGTTCAGTGAGTCCGAATTCATTTATTCTGCTGCAAATGGGATGGCTCCCTCTGCCTAGGGACCTCCCGGAGAGAGAAGGAGGAGAGTTGCGGGGAACAGAGGCCTGCTGGGAAAATGAGGAGAGCTGTGGAGCCCCAGGAATACTGGGCTTTACAAGCCCCAGCGAGGCTGCGGCCCCAGCAGAAAAGGGCTGAAATAGGACCTGGTCCCAGGCCGGGGGAAGAAGGGGAGGGGGAGTGGTGGTGGTGGTGGCAGAGTCAGACATGAGCCAGGTGTCCTGGGCCAGGGGTCTCAGGCCTCACTCCTGGGCAGCACCTGGGTCTCAGTGCAGAGAGCTGTCCTCCTGCTTCCTGGACCTTAGCCCGGGGCAGGAGCCCAGTGGGAAGAAGCAACTGACCCCCGGGAGCCTCCTGGTTCCCCGGAGCCTGAGTTTCCAGCCTGCCCAGGAGGCAGATTCGGGAGGTGGCCTCTGAGCACAGTGCACCGAAGCCCCTTCCGGACTCTCCCTCACCCTAAAGACCCCTTTTTCTTCCATCCTACTACACACACATCCCGACACCCACGGCTCAATCCGTCACTTCCCGTGTGCGCTCACAGCTCCGTGAGTCCTGTCTCCCCACCCGGCCAGGCCTGCAGAGGGGCAAAGAACCCTCCACCAGGGAAAGCAAGTCCTGAGCGACCTTCTCAGGGGTCTTAGCCGTGGCCCGGCCCAGTCTGGCCCAGCCTGCCGTGGAAAGCAGGGCTGGGCAGCTGGTGGGACCAGCACGCCGTGGAAAGCTTAGAGATGCTCTGTCCTGGCCAGAGGGCCCTGGGGATCAGGTGGAGGGAGGCC